CCCCGATGGGAACACACAAGGAGAAAAGGTGGTATGCTGGCCCAGGAGCTGCAGGCACCCAAATGTCAGTGGCAGAGACCAGCTGCAAGGAGGATGCCAAGCACTAGCAGACTGGAGAAGTAGGGAGTGGGAGGCTCCAGTTAGGGTGGTTGGGACTTGAAGGAGATGGTTGGGAGATGGTTTGATTCGTCCTGGGTATAGAGGAATGATGTCATCAAAGGCAGAGGTGGTTGGCTGTAGGGTCCTCAGGAATGGAGCAGACAGGTGGTAGAGAGAAAGCATAAGCGATGTCTGGAAAAGTTCATTCCCTAACAACCTGAGTGTCCATCATCAAGCAGCATGGTTAAAGAAATTGTATTCTGTGATTTCACCATAGAAAATTACACACACAGAAAAAGGGACAGACAATTGCTGCTTACAACATGGGTGATCTCACAGATGGATTTTGGGTGAAGATGACAGACACAGAAAGGATGTGCTATATGATTTCATTTTTATGAAGTTCAAGAACAGGAAAAAAATAACAAACGTAGAAGTCAGAATAGAGGCGACCTTCAAAGGTGCATGAGGCCTGGGAAGGGTATGAGGGAGCTCTGTGGGGTATGTGATGTTCTGTATCTTGACCTACGTGTGGTTACTTGGGAGGCTATGTAGGCAAAACTTATTGCATTTGTACTGAAGAAATGTATACTTTATAATTGTTATACTTCATTTAAAACAAAAGCAGGTTTTATCCTGGAGAGCTTTGAGTGCCAAGCTTTTCAAGGTTGGAGTGGCCACTTCCCCATGATGTAGAGAACAAAACACACAAGGTGAATCACACGGCCCAAGTCCCCCAGATTCTGAGGAGAAGATGAGGCTGGACCCTCTGTGGCCACAGCAACCAGCTCATTCTCTACTTGCTCCCCACCATCCTGGCCTTCCCTGGCCCCTGCTCTTCTGCTGGCTGCCCCACTGACCTGATAGGACCTCCTTGGGCAGGTGCCTGGAAATGACCTTGCTGTCAGTCAGAGGGGTGAGGATGGCTGCTGTGTTCCCCAGCATGCTCCCAATGCCCAGCATCAGCAGCATGAAGAAGTAGAGCACTGACCACAGCTGGGACACCTCCATGTTCTTAATGGCCTCGCTGTAGACGATGAAAGCCAGGCCAGTGCCCTGAACAGCCTGCTCATGGCGAGAAGATACTAGTTACACACACAAAGAACTTACGTTGTCCTTAAACACACCCAGTGCTAAATAACTTGGGTAACCTGGGAACTGGCCATGAGCAGCCACATTCTGAGGCTGGAACTTCCATCTATAGACCAGCCCCTCAGGCTCAGCTGGCTGAATAGGAACGGTAGCTGCCAGAACTCTCAGTCAGCCTGGAACACTGAATTCCCTTCTCCTGTCCCAACTTAATGTAAATTCTGGATAAAATTTAATAAACAATGTTTGAATAATTTCTGCTCCTAATGACTAACCAAGTGGTCTGAGACGTCCGAGGCTGGGAACCAAGAAATGATGGTGGGGCCAGGACAGCAGAAACCCTAATGGTAGGGAGCCAGCCTAGCCAGCAGGCGACTCAATGGGGCAGGGTTGTTCAGTGGCTAGATCCTTGTGCTGGTAAAGCTGTTGCAGAGATATTAAACTATGGAAATTGAGCATGGAACTCCTGCTTAAAGACAAACTCCCTTGGGGTCAAAAGGGTCAAGTGTTAAGGGTGCTCCATGGCTACCAGCATCAGAAGAAGAAAAAGCAAACCTTCCCTGGGGAATGACTCTCCAGTTTAGACCCCCAGGGCTCCCTGAGAATAAGCAACCAGCTCACAAACAAGAATTTACTAACCCAGAAAAAGAGAAGTCGTTATGAGTAAAGAGCCAGCAAGAATAAGAATATTTAGAATATCCCACCCACAAGGGCTGGCAGGTGTTGGACTGTCAGGTTCAGAATTGCTGTGGATTGAATTGTGTCCAAACAAATTTCGTATATTGAAACCTTAGCCCTCAGTGTGACTGTATCTAGAGATAGGGTCTGTAGGAGATAATTAAAGTTAAATGCAGTTATAAAGCTGGGTCCCGGATCCAATAGCACTGTAGTCTTATAAGAAGAAAAGAGGGAGAGAACTCTCTGTCTCTATCATGTGAGAACACTGAGAAGATAGCTGTCTATGAGCAAGGAAGCAGGCCCTCACCAGGAACCAAACACTGCTGGACCTTGGCCTTGGACTTCCCAGCCTCCAGAACGCTGAAAAATATATTTTTGTTTAAGCCCCCCACCCCAACCCCCAGTCTATGGTATTTTATTATGGCAGCCTGAGCTGACTAATACAAGAATATAAGTCAATCAATGGCATTCTAGTTGCCCAGGGGCACGCTGAGCGTAGTTAGCCCTAGATACAGACAGTAGGGGGTGATCACTGTAGAATTTTTAAAAAATCAGGAAACCTATTAAAAGTTAATATGCTTTTTATTATTCTCATGAGTCAGTAATTCTAAACTGCATCAATGATAAAATACTGCCCATGCCCAAGATGGACTGCTCTCCTTCTCCTGCCTCTGGCCACCACTGGAACAATTATATATGATATATTTAAAAAAATAAAAGGTAAAATGACAAAGATAAACATGTAACAAAAAACTACTGGAATGGACAAGTAAACTTGAAAAAAAATAGTGTCTGAAAGTAAAAAATATAGTTATTTAATTAAAAGGCTCAACTGTTAAATACTAAAAATTAGATGCAGCTGAAAAGAAAATTAGTTAATTGAAAGAAAGCTATATCCAGGAATGAATAAAAAATGAAACAACAAAAAAAGGATAAGAAGGTGTGAAAAATGAAAGAGAGGTTACGGACCTGTAAGATAGAATGAAAAGATCTAACAGGTCTAAATGAGGTTCTGAAAGGAGTGTAATGAGAGAAGCCGAAGGCAATAATTAAGAGATAATACGTATGAATTTTCTAAAACTGAAAGAAACATGGATCCATAGATCCAGGAAGCCAAACTACACCCCAGCCTAGACTGGATAAATAAAAATACATTCATGCCTAGATTGCAGAGGCCAAAGACCAAGGGAAGATTGTGAGAGGAATCAGAAAGAACTGCTTGTTTATAAAGAATAAAAGAAAATTTCAACAACAACAATAAGAGCCAGAATCACAAAGCAAATGTCTTCAAAGTGTTGAGAGAAAATAATTGTTAATCTGGAGTTTTCTACTCAGAGAAAAAAGAATCTTTAAAAAATAGGGGCCAAATACAGACGTTTACATACAAACAAAATCTGAGAAACCTACTGTAAAGGAAGGTATGTTAAGGGGAAAAACCCTTGAAGATAGCTGAGATGCAAGAA